TTTATCATATAAAATTAAAGATCGTTCTAAACAGTGATAACTCTGTGGTAGGAAAGCACGCGGCCGGGAGGTGTGCTGAACAACTTACTACGAAGTACCCATATCTAAAAAGTGTTAGTACAACAAAGACTCACTCACTCATTTCGGCTCAGGGCTCATTGAAAACCAGCGCCACAGTCAGTTATGGCTGTGGCTTATGCTGATGCTTATTTTTTTGCGTACGCCACAACCGCACAAATAACAGTACAAAATTTGTAGTCGTTCTAATTTGTTTTTTGTCAGATTTGTCTTATTTAATGTTGTTTTTTTATTGTATTTTTTTTATTTTGTTTTCGTCGTAACTCTACTGCTACTCAAAACGAATTTTCTCTGTAGTAGTTAAAAGTACCGTAAATAAAGTTCACACCTTCATTTGTTAGTCTTGCACCGCTTAAAACAATGGACGCAAATTCATTCAAGCCGTTGATTTACTATCTACATATGATGAGATGTACGATTCGCACTCTTGCGCATTGCATACAGCCCGTCCCCGGAAACTGTTAGTCATTTCGTCGACTTTTGAATGTAAGAGAGTTTTTCCTCTTGATTCCTATTCAACGTCGTATCAGTGTACAACTTTGTGTGTGGTTATTGTTTCTTTGTGGGTATTCGGTTTCATTCGCGTGTATTATGTATATTACAAAATCTAAGTATTATTGTCATTGAAGCCAATGAGTCTTATCGAGTTGTTAGGTTTTCGCGATTGTTACACATAGGAAATGAAACTATTTTTCCGGATTTGAATAGTGAAAAATAGTTTCATTTCCAACCAGTCTTGTTCTAGTTAGTTTTACCAATGTGTAAATGTGCAATGGTAAATTAATTGAAATGTCCGTAGCGTGAATTTAAATTTGTTTTTTGATAGAATAAATGTAACTTAATTAGAATCAATCACTTTTGTTATTATTATTGTTTATTTATTATAAGTAAATAAGTGCACATTTGACCTCCATCTCACCCGATGGAAAGCGACGCGATTCTCGTCTTGAAAAGGTCCAAGTTATAGAGTTCGGGGATCAAACAGGGAATTCCACTCTGTAGCCGTTGGGCATGTACACGTGGAAACTAGACGCTTCGTATGAATCCTGGGAATATCCACAACATAGTGGTGCGTCTAGTCTACGTCTAGTCCCACGATGATGGAATGGGGAAGGCGGGATTAAATCATGCAATTCTATCGTACGGCGGTTTTACGACGGTCTTCAAGGCGCTTATACGCCCCTTGTCATGCTTTTTTAGTGAATCCAGTGTGGCCAGTTGGTATTTAGCAGAACCATCCCATAGGTGCTAGCAGTACTCCATACATGACCCGACTTGTGCTTGGTGCAGTTGAGGCATCTGTCCCGATGTGAAGTATCGCCTCGCCTTGGAAAGGAAAATTAAATTTAATTTATATAACTTGTAGTTCAGAACTAGGTGGTTTGCATTAATAATAAACATAAAGGTTATTTTTTTATTATATATACCATCCCATTCATCCGTGCCCATGGAATCAGTAAAGAGACCGAAACATTAGATTTCCGAAGAAAAAGTTTCATTTCCTACCAACAGCTCTAAGAACTCGATTAAAATTATCTTCGAAGTGTTAATTTTAGTTAAATTCACGTGTTATAAAATACGTCCACTACTTAAAATGACGGTCTTCTCCCATCACCACACTGACAGGAGCTCAATAAATTCCATCTTATTAATCTATCAACCTATCCAACGTTCCGTCCAGTTGTTAACGACGGCGTATCTAATTCCCACCAAGCGGCTGTATTGTCGCCGGAGCTCCTTGTCCAAATAAACAAATTATGGGTCATTCCATGGCGCGACTCGCACCGATTAGGAATGTAACGACTGAATTTCTAAATCCAGCAACACTTCCTGGTAATTTAAGTAAATGGTCTTTGCTTCTCATTTTAAAAGATGTATATTGTATCTGGGGTCGGTCGGTCGGTGCTCAGTACATAAATAAATAAATACTAAATTTTTAACCGACTTCAGATAAAAGAAGGAGGTTCTTAATTTTTTTTTGCGTGTGTATGGTACACGATTACTCCGGAATTTGTCAACCGATTTCGATGATTGATGATTTTTTGATTAAAAGTTTATTGTTCAATGTTGATGTATTAGATTTGAAAAAGACGCCGCAACAATTTAAGTACAAATAAGTAAATTAGACATGTGCTTTAGTCGTAATCCTTTATTTCCTCCACACATATGCAACAATTTAAGGTGACATAATACAGAATAATTTCTAGAGGCTTGGAGTCTAAATTAGGATACCCAGTATTTAGGCCATTAGGCCTGTAGAAAATCTGATCAATATTTATAAGTCTATGGACAATAATAAAATATGTAAAGTAGGGAAAAGGAAAGAGAAAAAAATATTGTTCTTGTGGTAAATGGTTGTTGTACCAACCCTAGCAAGAACGTCTAATCGCAAGAAACGTTTAAAAATAAAGTTTTCTATTTAGAATGCACTAGGAAATTCATAATACTACATGCGTTAATTTTTTTCTGACAGTCTCAAACCGATTCCGCGTTTCTTTAAGCCCTTCCGTCTAAAATGGTGTAATCGCTCCCGACTCCCACTACGAGTGAAACTCGGAGTGTATAAGACGTACATCAGATCCCGCCTAACATATGCAGCCCCAGCATGGTACGCGCTGGTAGAAGAGTGCAACAGGCAGCGACTCATAGCTCAACAGTCGCTGACCTTGCGGTGCATCACAGATGCCCCGCGATATGTGAGAAATGACGTCATCGAACGGGATTTGAGCATGGAGAGCCTCGACAGCTTCGTCGATCGCCTGGCCAAGACCATGTTCCGGCCCGCCGGACAATCCCTGTATAGCCATATACAGGGACTGTCACCACACCGAGCCCAACACCCTGACGAGAAACTGCTTCCAAGGGACCTACTTGGGCCCGAGGAAGCCCCACCGGACTAGACACCAGCTGCTGAAGATGGTTGAGAAACCTGCCACCACCGGCAGGGACTGCCATCTGAAGCAGCTCACCCTGTTGCGACACCCAAGGGTTATAGCCAACCCCAAGACCCGTCCGTCTCCACGAGTGGCGATTGACCCCGCCCAAAGAGGCCGACGCCTCGAACGGTCCCCTCAAACCAGCTGACGCGAGTTTTGAGACGACTACGGCAGGTGTAATCGCTCCAGCCAGCGTGCGCCACCACTTGCTTGTTCATAGGATACTGGGGATGCTAACACCTAACTGTATGTAAGGGGTGTCCATGCCTCGCGAGGAAGAGAGCTGGTAGGAATCTACGTTTATGTACTCGGCCTTCAGCATATTTTTTTTTAAGATAGGTAACGCTTCCTCTATTTCGTAGTTAGTGGTCGTAGGCAGTTTGTTAGGAAACGTTGTTTTAATGAGTATATAGGAAATGAAACTATTTTTCCGGATTTAAATCGCGTATATTTGTTTTTTCAAACAAACCGACGTTTCGGGCCCTTTATAGGTCCCATGGTCACGGTTGACTGATTTGATGGTTGATGAGTATATTTCATCATTTTCTTGAGGCGGATATCTCGAACACATTACATTGGCCACTTTTATAACTCCACGTAAGAATTAAAATGGATTAAAATTTAATTATTAAGAAAGTTCTACATCATTGAAAGCAAAATCAATAAGAAGTAATATAAATAACAACTTCACCAATTAGATACTGCACGAACAAAGTAAATAATAAATCACCTGCAGTGTATTCGTCATTTAATAATAATAATAATAATAATAATAATAATAATAATAATAATAATAATAATAATAATAATAATAATAATAATAATAATAATAATAACGCACACACTCAACATAGCCCCGCACTAGGGAAACCCTGTGTCGCGGGTGCCATGGACACACACATAGACAACCACAAATTACACCCAAATTGACGAGAGAAACAAATGTAGGCCATACAAATATTTCTCCCGGCCCGGGAATCGAACCCGGGGACCTCTGCGTGGCAGTCCGGTATGGTAACCGTTCGGCCACGGAGGCAGTTATTTAGCATAGCAAAGATTTAGCATCTAGACTGTAGGATTACAAGAAACGAAGTACAAGAAAATAATCTGATTTGGAGCTCAAGGCAATGCATTCTCTATTTCATATTGTTTTTACCTATTTAGTTCGTTTTTTTCGCAAACATACATTTTGATTTGTTACATTTGCTGTTTTTATTTTGTATCTAATCAGTCCCCGTGTCATTTTGGTGAAGTGTTTATCAATAGTTCAACATCAATACCAAATACAGATGATTTTAATGCCATTGTCTGAAAGAAAATTGCCTCATTGCTCTGCAGTCTACGGGTTAGATCCAATTCCGTTCTGAAAGTGATAGCGGGACGATATGATACCCCCCATCATAGCTATAATAAAAAAATCAAAATATAAGTAAAAATAATAAGTAAATGTAGGGTGCCTAATTACGTTTTATATCTTTTTACAATTGTTATTGTAATTAATGTAATGTTAATTCTGTTGTTATGTAATTTTAATTATTATACAATATTATTAATCTTTAAATTCAGTTGATTTCATTTATGTATTATAAAGAATATTTAGTTTTGACATTTTGATTTTTGAGCTTTTGAGATTTGAAGATTTAATGTATTTATATCGCTACCACTTCTAACAAACTATGGATTTACTTACTGTGGTGTCTGAGAATAAAAGATTTTTATTTTATTATTATTATTGTTTACGAATACTAAGGTACTTGCAAATTGATTTAAAGTACCGAAATGTTTCTATGAGTTACGTCCACCATCATGTTTATCTAGCTTTGGGTAGCCTCGTGGCCTCTTCCATTTAATATTTTCGTTCCATACAATACCGTCATGTGTATCATTGGATATTGTTTACCCTTCCCCTGACCTCATTTTCTGGTGTTTGCGCTATAACACCAGGAGTTCTAATTGCCGTTTACTTATGTTTTTTTTTTGTTTCAGACATACTCCGGTCTCTTCTGCGTGGTGGTGAATCCTTACAAGAAATTGCCGATTTATACGGAAAAGATCATGGAGAGGTATAAAGGCATCAAGCGGCATGAAGTACCACCTCACGTCTTCGCCATTACAGACACAGCTTACCGTTCTATGTTGCAAGGTGCGTTGTGATGTTATTTTCATTCTTTGGTGTTATATTCGAACGTTATCTGAGAACACTTTACATTGGGCAAAGTATTACAACTTCAGCTTACAGCTTCAGCAACGGCTACCGCCAAAAGAGAAATTTAAGTATCGGGAAATGTTTCCCATTCTGCTAATGTTAGTTTTAGTTTCCGTTAGAACTGCTTTTATCTGCCGGGACAAATAACGCAATCCAGGTAGCAACATATTGTTGAATACGAATATTTGAAATGTCGTATAAGACATTTCCCTTACGACAAAACGTCCCTTTAACAAAATGTCTCTTGACATTTGAAATTTCGACTATCGATATAATAATTTTGTGATGTATCGAATTTTAAAATGTCGTAAGTGACATTTTGACGTAAGGGACATGTTGTCGTCCGGGAAAATGTCCCTTACGACATTTCAAATTTCTACCGTCGAGTCATAATAGGACAAGAAGAAGATCTAGAAAAGATGCAATTTTGTATAAATTCTGATCGTTATACATCACACATATACCTATTGGCGCGTGAGGCAGATTCCGGTATTGTATTTTCTTTTTCGTTCTTTATTCCAGCAACAATATTTATGAATCTTTGGTCTTTATATTATTCTACATTCGTCAGTGTCAGTCAGTTAAACTACGAACCATTGCTAACTTACATATGTGATCAGCAAAACAGCGGTACGTTTGAAAATAATTTTAACAATTCAAAAGGGCGTTTAGCTGTTTCAATATTATGAAATTTAGTAGGTGATTCTTATTTAAGTGCTTAAGAAATACATATGTACTCCATTACACATATAATGGATATAGGTGGAGCGAAGCTATAAACTATCACAAAACAAACGTGACCGTCTCAAGGAATTCCCGTATCTTGTCGCTCGCCCATTAGTGAACAATTAGACAAATGTTCGTTTTGAAACCCGTCTCTTATCTACCAGCTATGTACTCTTAACAAGCCAGGCGAGTCATCGATTCTTTCCATCCCAAACTAATAGTGTCAATTAATTTTAGAAGATTAAAATTTTGAACGGTTGTGGGCCTGGAACGGTACCCTGCGGGAGACTTTAAACAGATTGCGTTATTTGGAATTCATGATTCTATATTATTAGTCTCTTTTTAAAGAGAATATATAAGTGAAATTTAAAAAATATAATATATTTTTGCCGGTGTTAGCAAAAATCTTATAAGAATGACTTTAATCACTAAATACATTGACTTACAAACAAATGGACGACGGGCCTAATACAAAAACCACGAAAAAAATGTCCCAAGTCAACCTATTTAAACGTAGTGACATGTAAAGGAATATGAAAAAGCTAAAACGTTGAATTTAAATTGTAATGTCATCGCAGTACTGTCTAATTTTGCTTGCTTCGCTGTCAGTCGAACAAACGAAGACTAAAGCGTGAATGGCGCTCTGTATACGATTTTAACGCCCTATAAGTTCGGACACTTTAGCGCGGACCCGACGTCCATATAATTGCAAGTCAATGACTAAATAACAAAAACAAGTAGCGTCGTAAGAAACCTGCAACTACAAACTTTCCGTGATATCTCATCTAGAGATAAAGGTGTAAATTCTTGACGCTCTTGAACTACACAATGACAATGAATCTTTATCTATATACATATAACGAATATTTTTTGCGCCTTACGTAATTTTATGGGTATAGTTTATTTGAGTTTAATATGCAGCGTGCAATCTATTTCATAATTGCCTGTGATAGATAATCTATGGTTTGATGAGTTGCTTTGGTTACTGTTTGTTTATCTTTCATACTGACTTATGTCGTCGAAAGAACCTTCAGTTTTATTGGTTTCAGAAAACGGGTCAACTAACTAAAAGATAGATTGCAGGAAATAGATTCAAATGTCAAGTTGTGGTTTCGTTATTTAAAAAAAATTTTAATTGGTAAAGGAAATAATAATAATATAATATTATAAAACTATAAAAGTGACTCGGACACAAGCCTAGTGACCGCCATAAAGGAAATAATAATAAAACGAGCCATCCATTTATTCTTTAGTAACCTTAATTGTTATGTGAAAACTAGAAACTTGGACTAATGAGTTGCCAGTCCGGTACAGGAAACGCCCTTTCGTTGCGCCACAAAGAACGTAAACAATGAAAAGTACGTCTTCAATCATTTGTTGATGTTTAACCTGTTGGTGATTAATACCAGTGCCAATACAGAAGTCGAAACAGGTACATTTTATCTGACGGTTTGGGAAACGTGCGAGTACCATACAAACAGGATTTAATACTACTTGGTACAATAGCTTATAATAATAGTAATAACGCACACACTCAACACAGCCCTGCACTGGGGAAACCCTGTGTCGCGGATGCCATGGATACACACATAGACAACCTCAACTCACGAGAGAAATAAATGTGGGACATATAAACACATCTCCCGGCTCGGGAATCGAACCTGGGCCCTCTGCGTCCATGGTATCCGGCATGGTAACCGTTCGGCCACAGAGGCAGTAAAGTATGGAAACTAATAAGTGGGTCGTGTTTTTCTTACTTTGCAAGGGCTCAAATATGGTCCACCAAAGCAGGTTCAGGGTGGGGTAAACGTGGGGTAAAAAGGAGCTAATAAAAAAGTACAAAATTTCAGGTTTCGATTCGTTTTTATTCAATTTGGACATTATATAATTTTTTCCCCCTCAAGTTTTCAATACGATCTCAGCAGATGGCGGCCTTCAGCTGCAATACACAAATGTAATAGATTTATAAAGTTTTCGGCCACTTTTTGGCATATCTCAGTAATTCGAGCCTTGAGGTCTTCTACAGTGTAGAGCGACGTTTTTAAAAACGGAGACCGAAAACATGATTAAAAATCAACCGACGTATGTTCAAAAGATCATTAAAGGTTCTGTAGTTTTTTATTTGCTCTTCCAAACCCTGGTGTAACTTTTACCCCACCCTTTAACCACCCAATTTGGCCAATTTTATGCATAATTTTCAAGTCTCTGGATTTATTTATTAATTTTTAAACACCATGCAGGAAATGTAAAATGCAAAAAAAATGCTTATATTAAAGATATACCGCAACACATCTGCCTTAATTATTTAAGAAAACATGTAACTTCAAAATGCCTAACCCAGTCGCGCAGCCTAGTGGGATTCTTAAGCAGTAATATTTACATAATTTCCGGATGAATTTTTACTAGTACTCCCATAAACGTGCAGAAAATACTGTTTTTAAGATGTTAAAGACGTATTGTTTGTCGCGGTTATATCTTATTACATCAGTGTATCACTTCTATGTTGCGGTTACATCATCTACCGAAACAGTGTAAGCTATAGGTGTTCAAGCAACTAGAGACATAGGATGCGCCCTTGTTGTACACCACAAAGAGAATAGTAAACAAAGAAATATGAAACGTAGGAAATGGCACTACCGTCCCTCTTTGCATAAGGAAATGTTTACCCTGACGAGCTGAATGCTTTATCTATCAATGTAAATATTATTGTGTGGAGACATGACGCATAAATTATGAATTCCTAAACAATTGTAGGACAAAGGATTGGAATAGTTGGTCTTGTACTTAAATATCGAATCTATAAACATAAATTTTAATAATAAGGATATTAATGGTAAGGTAGACGATTATTATAATGATTAGACATGTGACAGTTTGATATCATAATATGATCCAGGTCGCGTAATCGAAATTCACACCACTAGTGAAAACAAATTGCTTTCCTGAGAACTAAAGAACAGTTCTAAAGAACATTTTGGGATTCCGAAACGTGCTTTAAAAGATTTTCATTGTATAAACCCGAATAAAGGGGAAACTCAATCTACTTAGCCTAGTAAACTTAAGACTACATCTACATGCCCAGCCATCATACGTATGTAGTCTTATAATGATGATGATGATGTTTTCAGATCGAGAAGACCAGTCTATCCTATGTACTGGCGAATCAGGTGCCGGAAAGACAGAGAACACAAAGAAGGTGATACAGTACCTAGCCTACGTCGCCGCTTCCAAACCCAAAGGATCTGGAGCGGTAAGTGTGATATGATAATGGTCATATTTTGTTAAATTTCAAATTCAACATGATGACGAAGTTACTGGAATTTTGTTTCAAATCGAATTTGATGTTAACAACAATTCTTTCTGCAATCTATTTCCCCAATGGTATACTATCATGGTAAAAAGATACTTGTAGATAAATTTTAATGTAGCAAACTGTTCCGCCACAATACGAAATTCTCGCCTTTTCAAATTTAAACTTATGGACAGAAACTTTAAGGGCCATTTCCCAAAAGTTGACTTTTTCGTTTAGTGACGGCACAAGTTTCAACGTGTTTCTATCGCACGTTAACTGTGCTTCTTTACTAGAAAAATAATTGCTAATATTTGTTTACCTATCGTCACTCGTTTTCGTATTGCTGAACTTTGATGAATGTAAAACATTATCCCTTTCTTAAGGAATGACTAGAAAAAAAGCAATTTTTTCATTCTGTAGATTTAAAAATGATCTATTCTTTAAATTGATTATAATAGATCTAGTAGCTGGCTGTGGTATATCCTGACTTGTAGATTCCTACGTTGAGTTTACAACGTCTATATTTAAATAGATCTTCAACCATTGCAAATGCAATACTCAAATGCAGTGACGTTGTATCTAAATATTGGTTCAATATAAATCAGCCGTTAGCTTCAGAGCAACAAGGAACAATGTCGTTTGTATTGTGTTTCTGTAGTTCGATAGTTATATCCAGGATCGTGACATTCCGTAGATTCTTGTGTTATCAACTCCTTGATAGCTTTGCCGCCGCGTATTGTTTTATAGTATTTGTTTGTCTTGTTAATTTAAACAGTTCACTTCTTTTGGAATATTAAGTTATAGATATTTAGGTTGCTTTCTTTTGCACGTGGCGTTTCTCTTTTTTATCTGCGCAGGATTCTAATCAAACGTATTTCAGTCTAAACTTTTTACAGTATTTTTTAAAATTATTTGTCACAATCTAAATTGTTGTCAAGCCAATCTATTAGCTAGAGGTTGTTTAATTAGAGTTATTTTTCAAAACCCGATTTGCCTTATAAAATATCTTTGGTATTAAACACATTTTTCATAGTTATCCCATTATAGATGCTTAAAAGTTTATTGAATATTTTAATCACTCGTTTTGCGTAAACTATAAGAGCGAATGCCATTAAGTAGATGCGTATCGCCTACTTTGTATGCAAATTATTCAATAAATCTGTAGCTTTCGTTATTTAGGAGCGTAATATACGTATTTTTGTTACTAAGAGCTTGAGTTATTTGTATTTAAAAGGTTTTTAAAATTTAGATTCTTTCGTATTTATAAGGTGGTGTAGTACATATGGAAAAGTCTTAGAGACAGAACGAGGATGTGGTGTGGACATCACGTGTGATGGTTTTAGTCGAATGAAAAGAATGAATGCTATAATGTTTTTCACGTAGTATTGGTGTAGTAATTTGAAGTTTTTAGAGATGTAGTATGTAAATTCGAATGAAGACAAGTCGATTAAATATCTTTTCATGATAATTTATTACAAGAGAATCGGTTTAGAGGCTATAATTTAAGAACCAAACAATGAACAAAAAAAGGATTTAATTATTATGCTTAGGTAATGACACTATTTTTCAGATCTAAATCGCGTACTACCGCTTAACAGTCGACACTACCCCAGCTCGAATTCAAATTCTATTGCGCGGGTTGAACGAGCGACAGGGACACTCGCTTTTTTTCACAATTTTTTTTTTACAAACAAAATTAAGGCCCTGTGAAAAATGTATATCGTATACTATACTACGTGTTTAGGAATCTTATTTTCACACCCGTTTACTAATTAATCAGTGCATACCCTCATTTTACTATATATTAAAGCTTAAAGCTAAAAACAAAATAAAATTATCCGCATACACGATAGTCGATAAATACGCTGTTTTAAGCATCTAATACTTAAGGTAATTTAATTTAATTTTTATTCCTTTCGTTTTCTATCTACTTTGTAATGTCACAGTCCCATCCTATTTCAAATGAACTATATATAGTGTAGAGAAACGTGACGGAAGGTACACTGAGGTGTACATATCTCAACCAGATCGAGGACGTCTCTGACTACGACAGAGGTACCAAGTACAAAACAAGTGTGTATGAAAAGTATGACTAGTGAAAGAAGTCTATCACGAGTGTTACGGGTGAATGTCGGTAATCTTTAAGTACCCTAGGGAGAGACGAGGGTTGTGGTACGTATGTGTACTCGCGGACACGTAATTCGTGCCACCTTGTATTTTCAGTATTAAATGCCCTGAGGTTAAAATAAATGTTTCATTGATCAAATACTATTCATGCAATTTTAAAGCTGGTGTAACTAAACGTCATTTCCGTATGTCTTTGTTGAAAATTTTTGTTTATAAAGCCGGGGAAAAGTTATACTTTTGTATTCTAGCCTTTTAATAATTTCACTTTTTTTTTTATTAAAAAACCGACTTCTAAAGTTTGTGGTATTACATCTATATTAGGTTTTATTGAAGGGAAATTTTTTTTTTTTTCAAATTTAAATAGAACCACTATTGAGGTACTCTCTTTCCAACAAAAAAGAATCATGAAAATCGGTTCACAAATGCCGTATACTTATCGCGTAACATACATACAAAAAAATAACTTAAAGTCGAATTGAGAACCTCCACCTTTTTTTGAAGTCGGTTAAAAAGTGGGTGTAATCTAATCAACCGGATTCATCCCGCTAATTTGCCACCTTTAGAGGTGGAATATTTTCTTCAAATTTGAATGAACCCACTACTGAGGTATCCCCCTTTCCAACAAAAAAGTCTCATCGAAATTGGTTCAAAAATTGCGGAGTCATCGCGTAACATAAACATAAAAAAAGATAGTCGAATTGACAACCTCTTCCTTTTTTAAAGTCGGTTAAAAATAAAAATGCAATGTGACTCGTATTGTGTCCGAGAGTACATTTACCTTTCAGGCCGTTTCCTAATTTGTCGGTGCTGTAGCGGTGTGATATCGGTACGCTCGGTGTACGCAGTACCGAAAGCTTATCGAGCACCTATATAGGAATCGTTACGGTTTACGATAAACCGCGCCGGTCAGGAAGCGCACATTGAAATATAGACGCTCGGTAAGCTTTCGGTACTGCGTATACCGAGCGTACCGATACTGCACTGCTACGAAACGGCCTTAAGGTGATCCTCGTACCAAATTAAAGCAACTGTATTTACTGTTTGTTATGATAGTTTTGTTTTTATGTTGATTTGTTTTCTTTATGTTAGCGCTCGTCTATGTATTGGTTCGACTATCGCGTGCGGGTAAGAAATATAACAGCTATCACTCTGTGCTACTGTCCACCGTACTCGATCCACGCTAGACAGTTTCATGTTGAAAACTACCTATCGCCCTCATTCCACACACTCGATAAGGTCTGATTGTAATATACAGCTGATAATCCAACGTTTACTTATTTATTTTGTCGGCGAACATATATGCTTGATAGTTTTGTTGTGCATATTTTTCATTTGAGTTGACAATATTCCCCATAGCAAGACACCTGGATAAACAGTGTACATGATCCGTAGAGTTCGTTGGCCATGTATGTATCGTCGCAGGAAGTTAATGGAAGCGAATATAACATTATGAAGTTGAAAACAGGCTATCTAGTTTTCCCCTGTTAGTAGGCTATGTAGCCTAAAAACGGGGGCCCAATTCTGCTATTTTTTTAGATGCGGAAAAATATAACCCACATCCTCTCCAATTTCTGTGTCTAATGGAGCAATGAACATGTTTGCCGTAATACCACATGTTCCATTCTTCCATGAGGGGTGCCATTTGCTAGTCTGCTAAAATCTAGTTGCAATGGCAGTTGAATGTCAATGGAGTGTCAGTGCAATGGCACTGATGGCATTAATTCATTCAATCACCAACGATCGATGTTTCCTTACTAAAACTACAGCAATTTAGTCTTCAAATTAAAAATTATATAATATTAGTGCATTACGCCTACTATGTGCTTACGACACGCCATTGAAGAGCAGAATGGCAAAAAAATGCCATGGCAATTGAATAGTAACTCAATGGTTAGTCACTGACAAGTGACTAGCCATCTACTACATCGCTACTCTTAACTTTTACCAGAATACCAAACGTACCAAATCCTGTCATTGCCTTTCTATCGACATATAACTGAGATGATTAAAAACTAGCAGACTTGGGCCCAGGACGCGCGTCGTTCGGAGAATTCTCGCGCAGTCTCGGGAATTCCGGCAGCCACTGTCACGTGTCTAGTTTATACGTTACATAAGTAACGTAAAGTTATGCTATGTACAATTTCGTCATAAAAAATTGCTGCCAATTACATTCCGCGGCAATGTAAATGCACCATCATGTCGTAGGCTCGATTTCAGTTTGATCAGACTTACATAGTATAACAAGACAAGTATGGTAACTTTATACAATGTAGCAGCGCGGCTTGTATATACCGTCGGTGTTTTGTAGAACGTTTTAAAATATTTACGTACTGTTTCAAAATTCAGTTTTTGAACTTAAACTTAATAACTACTACTAAATGGCGCTTGCGCCTTTTCCACAAAACACAGATGGTATTAAATGAAACGCGCGTGGGACAACCAGCCCTTTGCAACGCGAATGCATCGCGAGAATATGCGAATGGAAGCTACGGACTCGCACACAGAAGCCACGCTTACTACGTGTTGTGTGAAGTTAGCATTCTTGTCTCATTATATTATGCTTTCTACCTCGTTGTATTTCTAAATGCTAGTTTTTGTTTTTCGCTGTTAATTTTGAAGTATTTTCATTCATTTTCTGCTTGAACAAATACTGTAAGATGAAGAAATTTTCAGGCCTTTTAAGGTATGTTTAATTTTTCCAAAATTAATGTACAGTAGAATTACATTTATTATAATGGTAACTCTAAATATTGGACGACGAAATGGACAGTGAAGAACAAATGTGTAAAATAAAAATGTGCACTGGCACAGCATGTTGGAGGTGGAAAGTGTACAGCACATTGTATTCACGTATGTTGCTAGATGTACCATGTCATGTGATTTATTACATTTACTGTAAATATTAACAAGGAAGTATTAATATTTATTTAAAAGAGGACATTTATGTATTCAATGTAATTTGTCTTTATTTTTTCCCGCTAATTAATGAGGAACGTTCAGTAATTTGCTCGAGTTCAACAAATAACTGAAAAGTTCTAGCAACATGCGTAGTAGAAGCTCCTTTATGTAATATATAATGTTTTATTTTCCTTTTCGACAACCCGACTTCCGACTACAACAGGGGCCGACACCACAGTTGATTATAGTAAGTTCTAAATTATAAACAAAAACAAGTAAAAGAAAAACAATTGTATTTATATTGTTTTATGCTTAAATGCTCCTGAGCTTTCTTGTATTAATATTTCGTGGTGCATTATCCTCATTGAATGTTTTGTATTAAATTTTATCATTTTTTCATCAAAAAATGACACTTGACATTTTTGAGTTTTTTTTAGCTTTTTATGGCATGAAACTTGCATGAATTCTGGTTCGGTGTTATAGCCTCTCTCTTACCTGACTGTCGCTAACTTATTTTAAATATAATAATCATTTATTCCAATCCGCAAAAGAGAAACATAAAGAGAACAATTAAAAAGAAAAAAAAATCATAATTAATAATAATTAACTAGTGGTTCGTTTCATTTTATAATAATACATTATTATTACGTACATACTACAAAAAGTGTACCGTTTCGGGTTCACCCTCGAAACAAGTAAAATGTCTACTACATCAACTAGTCGATTTCGCTTGTGTATGGTGCGAATAAAGAGTAACTTGTTGAGTAAATTAGTACTACCTCGCGGCACAGCCAGCAGTCGTTGCTGAGTAAGATCGTACGTCTTACTCAGTTACTACGAGTTACGACAAGTTACGACAGTTGGTACCAAGAGGGACGTTATGTATTTAATCCTTTTTCTCATCCACGTTGTTTTTACTAATTAATTCTTGTACATTGGTCTGATTGAGTATTTATTGTAAAAATGTATCATACACTCCATGAGACCATTTCATATGTTTGTTTACATTTAGCAGCTAATCAAATAAACATTTACAGGCAAGCTACTTTGCTAAATCATTATGAATGATGTGTGTGCGATGTCAGTTACAGAAGTCAATGTTATAATACAAAAAGCTCGCAACATCATTTTGTGGGATATGTTGTACTGAATATCATTCATTGTCAATGTTTTTGTACTTGGTTTCAAATATACGTGAATAACCCATAGAGAAATGAAAATGGACATTCTAACTTTTATCAGGACAATTTTAACTTTTATCAGAAGTTCTTGAAAAAGTCTAATGCACTCTTGAATTGCTCTAATGATATTAATAAAACGGCTACTAATGTCACTTGGTAAAAAAACGTGGCCATTTTTATTGCATAGTGATGTTTAGTTCTACTCATTGACAAAGAAGTCAAAAAGAAACGTTTAAATGTATATAAAAAGATTTATTCAAAAATTAAATACTATTTAACATCTTAAAACCCCATTATAATTAAATATAATTAGCAATTACAATTTGCTCTTAAAAATTAATATTTTTTATGATCAAGAGACGGGACGAACAAGTCATGCGCCTGATGCTAAGCGACACGTCTATCCATAACAGTTGCAGTGCCACTCAGTGCTATAAATCTCAAAAATCTTCGGGGCACTGCCACTGCGCCTGTCACCCTGAGACTAAGTTGACAAGTCCCATGTGCTGCACCCTAACCTTTCAAAGTCGAAACGCAGTAATTCTCACATACTGCTTGGCGGCGGATTTTCCCTGGATGAACTCTTTCACAAGGAGCTCTACTGTATACTTACGATTTGAGTGAGTCAGTCAGTGAAATCAACTTTTAAGACAGCAATATTTTTCTTTCATTAAAAATGGCTACCCACTTAATGTTAGTTAGTTAAGTGTCTAACCAAAAGCCCTTAATACGGGCGGTTAACTCTCTTACTAGTAGGTAATTTACATTATTTAACGGTTTTCCTTCAAATTTAAAACGTATGTCCTTACATACCGGAAAACCTTAATAAAAAGATAAAAATTAAGTAAAAAGTTATATTATTAGATAATAATATGCTCTAGGCAAATATTGGATATTGGAAGTGGGTAGCTGAATAATTTTAATTACTGACACTCATTATTGTGACTTTAATGCAAAGCGTAGCAACATAAAATCTAGTCAATTTTAACGATTTTTGGGAAACCTTATCTCCCTTTATATTGTTTTTCCATTTGTAGCATACACTACGGCTTCCCTGCATTATTTCCAGTTTTGCAATTTGGCCTGAAAAATGGTATAGTCGATAATAACCGCTAGGAAACACCCTCGTGGGAACTGTTAGGATAAAACGCTTACTTCTTATCGCGACATCAGAATTAGGGACAGAAAGGTTAATAGGTAATCTATGTATGGTCACATTTGAAAAGATTTTTAATTAATAAATTAATGAAAAAAGTGGATAAAATCCGCGGAAAAACACTGGTGTCTACAGATGATAAACCTTCTGAAAAGTTACATTGCTCGGCATTAGTTTAAGTTAGTTTCGCTGCAATTATTATGAGTCTCATTCCTCAGAACAAGGGTAATACCAGGCAAAACAAAACCAAGTACAATGACATATAATTGTTCGTTAATTTTCAAATTGCACTCTTTTTTTCTACACCGATTCATTATTATTGTAACCAGAACAATAGTATTGCTAACACACTAACTTGTTACATAAACATTCCATTTCACGCTACCCTGTTAGAGCAATGGACCTACATTCGAGGTAATCATAATTACTTTAGTTTTAACTGTGTGTCCATTTAACCGTATAGTTTTAAAACACATAACTGAGATGCGGAAGGTTTGTCAAGCGCCTGTGTTTGCACTTTAAGCTATTTATCACTTGACAATTTAACAATGAATGTTTTGTTTATAACGTTTATAAATGCACAATAAAGAAATGAACATTCACTGTTAAGTTGTCACTTTAACATTTGTTTGTCATTGTTTTATAGCTTGCAACATACAGCTAATAATAGAAATGGGAATTCCGCATGATTTGTATTCTTTATTTGTTATGGTGCTACTTTGAATTGAGTAACAGTTATTTTGTTTTTTCCTTAGGGCGAATTAGAACAACAGTTACTGCAAGCGAATCCCATATTAGAAGCCTTCGGTAATGCTAAAACAGTTAAAAACGACAACTCTTCCAGATTCGTAAGTAACTTTCTTCTATTATTATTGATACAAAGACGTAACGAACACACAGAACAATTCCGTCGATCTGACCGGACTCATTCCATGACGCCGAGTCAGCAGACTTCAAGAATTTCTCTATGTGGTTGTTGCAGATCGTTCCTATTGGGTTTTAAACGGTTGTTCTGCCGCAACACCACCTGTGATTATCTTTCTTTTGTTTCAAGTGTAATCACCTTATAATAATACCGGAAAATTGCACATAGAAACTCCTTTTAACAAGATTCAAGTTTAATTGTCAATCCCAACTAATATTATAAATGCGAAAGTAAATCACAAAAATAAATTTTAAAGGGAGTGAAATAGGGGACGATAGTTGTTAAGGGGAACAAATAACACTATGAAAATTAGTGAAAAATAAACAAAAAAATTAAATGTTCAAAAAATTTATTTATTGATGTTCTTTGGATTTAAGGCCATTAATTTTTTCATCAGGGTAAATTCATTAGAATAAACTTCGACGCGTCCGGTTTCATAGCGGGCGCGAACATTGAAACGTACTTACTAGAAAAATCGAGAGCGATTCGACAAGCGAAGGATGAGAGGACGTTCCACATATTCTACCAGCTGCTCGCCGGAGCCACGCCCCAGCAGAAGGCGGAGTATATTCTTGAAGACCCTAAGAGCTATCACTTTTTGATCAATGGACCTTTGCCTGTACCAGGTGTGTCTCAAATCCATATTATATTACTCCGGGGCACTATCTAGTTACCACACAGACCAAGTTTATCGGCCGTGAATCGAACGCAACGTCTAAGATCAAAGCTAACTAACTTAGGTTTATTCAATATCATATGAGGTTTAACTATCTCGAGATCTAGGAGACATTTGGCCGTTACGCACTTAATAACACCTCAGGGGCTGTTTATTAATATGGACATAAATGAATGGGTATTTATTGTATTAACTTTTATTACTGTATTAACCATCTCCACCACCACCATTCGAACCATCAGCGTATTTGTTAAATTTTTTTTTGTCCACTAGGCATAGACGACAATGCAGAGTTCCAAGCGACGATCAAGTCAATGAACATAATGGGCATGAACAATGAGGACTTCAACTCGATATTCCGGATAGTCTCCTCAGTTATGCTCTTCGGCTCCATGCAGTTCAAGCAGGAGAGGAATTCGGACCAGGCCACGCTGCCAGACAACACAGTTGCGCAAAAGATCGCGCATTTACTCGGTACGACAGTTTTAGCATTTAAAAAATTATCATCATCATTTAAATAAATACATTAGTTATGATTCCTCTTCTCTTTTTTCAGGTCTCTCTGTCACAGAAATGACGAAAGCGTTCCTGAAGCCGCGCATCAAAGTTGGTCGCGACTTCGTCACCAAAGCCCAGACCAAGGAACAAGTTGAATTCTCCGTGGAAGCCATCGCTAAGGCTTGCTACGAGCGCTTATTCCGATGGCTCGTCAACAGAATCAACCGTTCTCTAGACAGAACTAAAAGGCAAGGAGCCTCCTTCATCGGCATCCTCGATATGGCTGGTTTCGAAATCTTCGAGCTCAACTCCTTCGAGCAACTCTGCATCAACTACACAAACGAAAAACTCCAGCAACTTTTCAACCACACCATGTTCATCCTCGAACAGGAGGAGTACCAGCGTGAAGGTATCGAGTGGAAATTCATTGATTTTGGACTCGATTTACAACCCACGATCGACTTGATCGACAAGCCTATGGGAATCATGGCTTTGCTCGACGAGGAGTGTTGGTTCCCGAAAGCGACAGATAAGACTTTCGTTGAGAAATTAGTCTCAGCGCATTCCGTCCATCCCAAATTCATGAAGACAGACTTCCGCGGTGTTGCAGACTTCGCTATCATTCATTATGCGGGCAAAGTGGATTACTCTGCCTCACAGTGGCTGATGAAGAACATGGACCCGCTCAATGAGAACGTGGTCTCCCTGCTGCAGTCTTCGCAGGACCCGTTCGTCTGCCACATTTGGAAGGACGCGGAAATAGTTGGCATGGCCCAACAGCTGACTGACACACAGTTTGGCGCAAGAACCCGAAAAGGAATGTTCCGAACGGTATCCCAACTGTACAAAGAACAGCTGACAAAGCTGATGGCGACGCTCAGAAACACCAACCCGAACTTCGTGAGATGTATTATACCGAACCACGAGAAGAAAGCGGGCAAGATTGAAGCGCCTCTGGTCCTCGATCAGTTACGATGCAATGGTGTCCTTGAGGGTATTAGGATATGCAGACAAGGCTTCCCCAACCGCATTCCGTTCCAGGAGTTCAGACAACGATACGAGCTGCTTACGCCGAACATTATTCCTAAAGGCTTCATGGACGGGAAGAAGGCTTGCGAGCAGATGATTGAGGCTTTGGAACTCGATCACAACCTTTTCCGAGTTGGACAGTCGAAAATCTTCTTCAGAGCTGGAGTGTTGGCTCATTTGGAGGAGGAGCGAGATTACAAGATTACGGACTTGATAGTGAACTTCCAGGCGTTCTGCCGAGGGTTCCTGGCGAGGAGGAATTACCAAAAACGGTTGCAGCAGCTGAATGCGATTAGGATCATTCAAAGGAACTGCGCAGCTTACTTGAAATTGAGGAATTGGCAATGGTGGAGACTGTACATAAAGGCGAGTCATTTTGTTTTTTTAAAATCCAAATATGATTACCTTCTACATTTCAAAAGATAGAAATGTTGTTTTCCGGCTCACGATAATCTATGCCCCTTTGCAATCGACGAAAATCCGACTTAATCTGCAAGATATACCTTATCGTCACGCGTTATACTATTACAGCTATAATACCAATTACACTAATAGGAATAAAATTCATAATTCAAAAACATTATATTTACGTAACTGCCTCCGTTGACTTCGTTCTTTTTTGTAAAAACATCCTCATTTAAAATGCGTAATTCAGATTAGTTGATTCCGTGATTACTTCAACCAAAATAAGGCTAGTTTTCATTATCAGATTGACTCTCTATAGAGTTCTAAATCGATTAAACGCACAGCCAATGCCTTAACATTCTCAGAGAATGTATATTTTGAAAACAACCTTGTTAATAACTTAGTTATGTAAATCGACCCACTTGTTCAGTACTTAGGTAATTCACATTATGTTTTATTAACATGTAGGTGCACTTAAGTATAATCCATTCATGTGATTTATTTTACGAAATGTAAGAAGCTTGCTTTCATTCCTAGGTAAGATGTTTCTTATATTCACTATTATAAGGGGTGATCAGTATTCATTCAAATGAAAGTATTAATATAATAACTATTTAAAGTATTCTAAAGTATCACACCTGGAGTCTATCCAAAGTGGTATAGCTGTCAGTTTCGATGCCTAAGGCTCAATTTATATTGAGGCGGAATGGAATAGAAGCGATTATAAAAATTCGCTTCCAGTCCGTTCCCTCAATATAAATTGAGCCTAATGAAACTTAGTTTTTAACTAGAACAGTACACTGCACCCACTTATCACATCAATGCTTTTCATATGCGCTCGTCCATTAGGGTACTCTTGACCTGTACTTTCTTTAGGTCAATTTGATCGCTGCTCGCATGTGAACCACCAGTTTAGTGCACCTCGGTGGACCACAGGCAATTACTTATATTGGTGGTGCGGTGGTCCACTTCGAACGGTCCACCTAAGACGTTAACAGTTTAATGCTGGCCATTATAATATTTATCACGTTTTTTTTATGGTTAGTTCTTGGTAGGTCCTTACCAACTGAGCTCATACTATAAATCTAATCTAAATCTCATCTTGTCTACATTTCCCAAGCAACTCTTTCTCTTGTCATAAGATTGAAATTCATGAAACGAACTTTGACTTCGATTAAACAAAAATCGCGAGATAAGTATTTCGTATTTACAAAACGAATTTTGTCTATGTTCAAGCAAGAAATTACAAAATAAACTCAATGAATAATTTAATGCAAATCTCCCTTGTTACACTCCGCAATTTGTCCATCAGATTCACTCCAAGCCTTCTCAAAGTTCACTCTTCTATATTGAACATATTTAATTATATTATTTTGGTTTATTTAATGTCGCTTAATTATTTATTACTAGATTATATAGGAAAAGATAAGTAATCTATCTAGATGTCTTTACTTGTGTTAAATTATCGATAGGACAAAAGCCGCGTGTACTTGTGCGGTTGGTATAAAAATGTTACTCTGTATTTTGATTATTATATTTAAATTCTCAGTTAAAACAATGTATACTATATTATCTTTAATTTCAATGGGAACTTATGATACATTGCTCTTAAGAACATAGTACCTAGTAGTAGCAATATGTGTAGGTTTTTTTAAATGTTTCTTATTTACTGAACCAAAACACCATGTTTTTACTACTAAGAACGAACGAATGCAGGTGCAACAATTAACTTGTTAGACTATACATTTAACTCTGACCACGTGTATGTGTGGTATCATACAGTGGTATTTCAATGATGTTTTTGCTACAGGTAAAACCTCTGCTAGAAGTGACGAAGCAAGAAGAGAAGTTGACGCAAAAGGAGGACGAGCTTCGGCAGATCCGCGACAAGTTGGATACGCAGATGAAGCGGTGCCAGGAGTACGAGCAGAAATACCAGCAGGCCAACGCCGAGAAGACGCAGCTGGCTGAACAGCTGCAGGCGAGTACTGTACTCGATGTCTTTGGCGATCGAGTATGACAGGGTTTTTTTGTTAATTTATGATACTAAAGTAATGGGTTGAACAAGTCGTGCGTCTGATGATAAACGACACGTCTGTGCATAACAGTTGCACTGCCACTCAGAGCTTTAAATCGTAAAAATCTGAGGTGCATTGCCTCTACGCCCATCATCCTGAGACGTAGTTGAAAAGTCCTATGTGCATGTAATTTCACCAGCATGCTTACCCTTCAAAACCGGAATGCAGTAATGCTCACATCACTGCTTGGCGGAAGAAATAGGTAAGGTGGCAGTACTTCCCTGGAAGAACTCTTTCACAAGGAGCTCTACTGCTACTAGATAGGTCATCGGGTTGGGGTCTAGTAATAATAAAATAATAATAAATCTAGTGCCTGGCCTAGTTTTCTTTATAATGACACTTGTTCGGCATTTTTCAGTAGTAGACCGAGAGGTGTGTTTATGAAAATTTTTAAATGGTCATTTACATCCAGTTTTGCCCTGGGGAGATTGTTTATATTCTTTGAGTTTTAAAAGAAAAACGAATAAATTCTAAGTAAGGTAAATACTCGAGGAATCTTTTTTTTAGTAAATTAAGGCTGCTTACAAAAGTACTATCACGCTATAGAAAAAAAAAACGACGAAGCAACATGTCCTTTGTGCATTAGTTCCACCTGTAGTAATAATTAGTGTATGGGTTCATAATTTGTTGAGGTCCTTGACACTTCGCTCGTTTCGTATGTCGGAGTTTTGTCGTCGGAAGTAAGCTCCGTGCGCTGTCTCCAGGCCGAGCTGGAGCTGTGCGCCGAGGCCGAGGAGTCGCGCGCGCGCGCCGCGGCGCGGAAGCAGGAGCTGGAGGAGCTGCTGCACGACCTGGAGGGCCGCATCGAGGAGGAGGAGGAGCGCTGCTCCCAGCTGCAGCAGGAGAAGAAGCGCCTGCAGCTCAACATACAGGTACGCAGCTGCAGGCCATGCACCATAGGGTGGTTGTATTCTTGGCATCTTCGTGACATGACAATCACTTACTAGGTCTCATACCATGTTAATATATTATGTAGATACCCATAAACTTGTATCCCACCATCGGTAAAATTTGAGCACTGTTTTATTATGTACTCGTATACTTGTACCACTTTTTGTAAACCATATTTTAAGCAAATAAAAATTATTCATTCGTTCATTCATTCCATAAGGGGATATCTCAGTAACCCCTCCTTCTATTGCCTCAGATCCTTTTTTTATTGAGATTTTTTTATCCTGCCAATACCACAGTACATTCTAAGCCAGGATCAATACCCCCTGCTCGTTCTACATCTAATTCGCACGGAGACATTAAAGCGGACACCATTCTACGAGGGTCTGGCGTTGATAGAATGTCGAAATTGGATTCGTAATAATATCGTTTTCAGTACTCTGAATCGAAATTTCTGACATCGGCGTAGTAAGCATACTACTTGGAGACAGTCGTCGCCCGAAACTCTGATCGAAATTCCACAGCTTGCTTTTGGGCGGTGATTGACTCAACTCTGACTATGGCTTACGTGTTTACTTATTGTTACTATTATATTGTACAATATGAATAAAGAAATAAATAAATATAACGCCGATTTACATATGATTCCAGGACCTAGAAGAACAGCTGGAAGAGGAAGAAGCAGCTCGGCAGAAGCTGCAGCTCGAGCGCGTGCAATGTGATGCCAAGCTTAAGAAGCTCGAGGAGGACCTGGCACTCAGCGAAGATACCAACCAAAAGCTCCTCAAAGAAAAGAAGGTACGTTTAACTTGCCTTAAACATAATGACTGTAGTAAAGTTAAAGAAAATAAATGTTTACTAATGCGGAGACATTTTTAATTTGTTAGATTATAGAAGAGCGAGCGAACGACTTATCACAAGCGTTGGCTGAGGAAGAAGAGAAGGCCAAACATTTGAGCAAACTCAAGGCCAAACAGGAGTCCGCTATCGCCGAATTAGAAGAAAAATTGCTCAAGGTAAGAATCTTATCAGTTAACATTTGTTACTATAATGCAACCGCGAATGGAAACTAAATATACATGATTTATTTAGACCACTTTACAAGCAAAGTAAAGGGATTGCTTAAGGCATTTGAACGCGAGCCTAGATTCTAGGAGGTGAGATGTGGGGAGCCGCCTCTCGCGTCCCGCTATATGTGTGCTTAAAATTAATGTGAATAAGAACGGACGTAGAAAATTTTCCACAAGTCCGACGTTGACAAGCGCCCGATGGCGACTGACGGGGCAGCGGGCATTGCGGCGTGTCGTTAAACCACTGGGGAATTTTCATTTGGGTTAAATGTGAATTTAATAACTATAGGGCTTTAGTTGAAAACCAAAATTTGGCAGGTTCTCTGTAGTATTTAAAGAAAAATATCGACGCCTTACTTTCACAAACGCGTATCTTATGAAGAGTGCTTATTCAGGAGATGGCAAAAATTGACATTTATTTTAAATTTCTTATCAAGGATATTAATTTGGATGCATTACTTTAAAAATAGGTAAAAGCCAGCGTGTGAATATGAAGGAAATTTGATGTAAAATCATCCAGAAAATATGTATATATGCAATGCATTTTTTGCATTTCAATTACTTTGTTTTTTAAGATACGAGTTTGACGTAAGGCGACGATATCTCCGTATAAAAATTATGTGCAAAGTTAGATATTTTATTCTGAAATAATTCGTTTTAGATTTTTTACCGTAAATTTTCGATCGTGTAACGAATTAGCACATTCTTCAGACAATATACTTAGGTGTATCGTATATTTATAAAGACCTTTATTTAATAGTAAATACCTAAACCATTTGATCTGGCAAGACAGTTTTGTCCTGCTTCTCCTCCAGTGAGTCGCCTTAATTATAGTTCGGAGTAGACAGATACCCTCAGACAGAGTGTACTTACCTAAACTTCAAGGAAATGCTAAACCTGATGCAAATAAAAGACTTAAATCACAATAAAATAGTTATGGTTTCACTTACAATTATAAGATTTTCTTTATATCGTCGTGCAAGTAGTATTAAAGGTAAAAGGTGCGTATCTGCACCAAACCAAGCTTTAATTTATGTTGTCTACAGACTGGTAACAATAGGGTTGCCACGACATTTACGCGGATGTGATTTGGCCACTAAATGGGAACTCATAATCAAATGCTAGTTACGCTTAATTGCCCTATCCCCGACGATATGGTACCGTAGTAAAGGAATTGCTAGTTACATATCAAAAGTATAGAACAAAATACAATACAATAATTTCGGGGTTTCCGAGGGATGTATTATTCATTCTTTGTGTGTACTTCCTTGTACTTGTAAATATAATTTCCCAGTTTCAATCTGTGTTCAAAACTTATTTATTTGTGGAAGCACAGGCTGTATAGGGTTACAGTCAAACAGTAGGTGTTTAGTTTAATCTTTTTCATGCCGTGTATAACCTTCCAAAACGACCTTTATGGAAAGAAGAACGAAAACGGGATAAACATTTATTTGCCTTATTAGCTACTGCGTCGCTACTGTATCTCGTTTGCATCACTGCTAAAAGTCGCAGTGTGTGTCGCCGCCTAAGAGCGCTTGATGAGGTGCGGGGTTTGTTTCCCGGTAGCAGCAATAAAACAAATTATTCGAAATTATTTGTAACCTGGTTGTTAGTATTTGGCGTCAATGGTAATTTGACGTCATTGTCTGGCATAAAAAAAATTAATTCAGCGCATTAATGGTTTCTCGCTGTGTCAATACAGGATCACCAGCTAAGACAAGAGGTGGAGCGCGCGAAACGGAAGATCGAGACAGAGTTGCAGGACGTTAGAGAACAACTCGTCGAGAAGAAGGCTCAAGTTGAAGAATTACAAATTGTACTCAGTGAGTTGAAATATCCAGTTTAATTATAAAGTAAGGAATACTGTGCAGGCTGGAGAGTATTTGCAAAGATAATATAATACTGTAGCAGTATTTGTAAACATTTGAATCATATTGACATGCAATATAATAAAAGAAAATACAAGTTAATAATAGACAAACATGTGAAATGGGTCTGTAATTTGGCTACACAGATTTGTAATTGTTTTCAGAACTGGCTTGTGGTACACGGTTTGCAATTATGGATTATTACTGTGTAATGCATTGCTTTAGTGCTGTTGCGATGCTTGGTTATTATTTTTCATGTGTTCCACTGTTGAGTACGGTAATATTATTGATATAAAGCATTTATTTATTGAACAAGAGCTTAATTGTGTTAGTACTTTGCACTATTTTCTATTAATTAATGTTAATATTTAAAGTCTCTATACAGTCTATTTACATCGCTATTGATTTATATTTGCAGGAAATTATGTGGGTGATCATGTATAGTATAGTGTAGGAGCTGTCTCGCGACGTACACCAGGGATTTGGCGTAAAAAAACCAAGAAAATAAAAATATAGTTCACACGTTGACTTAATACAGTTTGAGGACTTGGGAGCAACTACAGAACAATAATTGTAGTAGGAGTGCTTAGAGGGCGGGGTACGTGTGCCAACAGTGCGTGCAGTTCCACATACTTGAGCTTAGTCCGCCATGTTCGCTTTGTACCTTGTATTGTTGTGTGAATTTTGGCGACAGCGGTTTCGGTAGTAATCGAGGCTTAATGGCACTTTCATTGTTTCAACTGCCTCCGTGGCCGGACGGTTACCTACCGGTTTGCCACGCAGAGGACCCAGGTTCGACTCCCGGGCCGGGAGAACTATTTGTATGGCTTACATTTATTTATTTCGTGAGTTTGGGTGTAATTTGTAGTTGTCTATGGTACCCGTGACACAGGGTTTCCCTAGTGCGAAGCTATTATTGTGTGCATTATAGTGCGTACTGTTTTTTATTATTTGATTTAATATATATAAAAACATTACAGTTTCTCTTAGGTAAATACATAGTCCCATAAAACTGAGTAATCTGTTTGACTGTGGGATCAAATGAATATCACTTTTATATACAGAACGTTAAGTATATTTTTCGCAACACGTATTTTAACAATAACCAACAAATGCTGAAACGAAAGATGTTTAAATTTGCTTTTCTTGGGTTCGAGTCAAATACGCCTCTTTAGAGTTCTATCTCCGTAGTAAGGTGAGAGTCCCAGACATTTGTGTGCGAAGCTAAGTTGTCGCGGCGTCCGCAGCGAAGCGCGAGGAGGAGCTGGCGCTGGCCATGGGCCGCGCGGACGAGGAGGGCGCGCTGCGCGCGGCGGCGGCCAAGGCGGCGCGCGAGGCCGAGTCGGCGCTGGCCGACGCGCACGAGGACCTGGAGGCCGAGCGCGCCGCGCGCACCAAGGCCGAGAAGCTGCGCCGCGACCTCAACGAGGAGCTGGAGGCGCTCAAGAGCGAGCTGCTGGACTCGCTCGACACCACCGCCGGTGAGGCCCGTTCTAATGTCAGCCGCGCATTGGGAAGGTGAAACGGCACAGCGCCAGCAACTGGCCTGTGTTTAATATCTTTAACTCGTCCATTCGGCCGTACGGGAAAAACAGCAAAACGTCTAATTACAAATCAGACGGAATCACATTTCGTCGGTAATTAAATATTACATTTTTCCATTTTCGTCCATTCTAGCAATACTCGAGTTAAACTGGCCGATTTGAAGTGAAACAATTGACCCTTCGGGTTGTCACCGTAATGATTTGGCAAAGTAGTTTTCAAACAAATTAAATGACATTTCGTCTTTATTTATACTCGATAGCCCCTCTTGACAATTAAACAGTAGCTTCAACACGCTACGCAGAGAACTACAACTGCATGCATTAATTATTGTTTTATCAATACGTTTTATGTTATATAGTTGCACAAATATGAAATGTGCTAATTATACGATTGACAATGTTTCTAAACAGCCCAACAAGAACTAAGATCGAAACGTGAACAAGAAGTGGCAGTGCTAAAACGCTCCCTGGAGGAAGAAGCGACGACACACGAAGCCGTGCTCACCGAACAGCGGCACAAGCACTCGCAAGAGCTGCAGCAGCTCAACGAGCAACATGAGCAGCTCAAGAAAGCTAAAGCTGGTAAGTCTACTGTGATTATTCTGTAAACTTTGCAGAAACTTATCTGTTCAGGTAGTTCCATGCTATCTAAAGAGCCAGAACTGCAGGCCTTGTCAAACCGTAACACTGTATATTCACTTACAGTGTTTTGATTTAACAACGCTCATATGATTTCCCTATACCTTGACATTTAAACTTTGGAGGTATTAGAGTTTTTGAATGAGATACGAAACAAAATACATTGTAAGTTTTAAAATCGCAGCAATACAGTTTTTGGTTTGACAATTACGCGTGCGAAATGCAGTAGAGTGTTGCGGAGCGCCCTAGTTAGCGAAAACTCTCAGATCGCGCGCAAATGTCTCAGTAGCGGGTATCTACTAACATTCCTCGGTGATAGTGCAAATCCGCGTATGTAGTAGTAAAGGCGCGTATCACCATTAAACCAAATTTTACAGGTGAGAGATTTAACGTTCGTTATTTAGATGGCCACGTCTTTCATTTTTGCACAGAATGTTGTCTACCGACTCATAACAATATGATCTTAAATCGCGTTAATTTGGTTGCCAGATTTGATGAAATGTAATTTTATTTTTATGAGAAATAACTTTTTTAAATTTGACCAACTTCTGCTGTCCCGATTTTTTCGTCCCATACAATGATATCACACTTGTAAGAAACTGAGTCTATTAGCGTAAAAAAAATTAGACAATTTTGTTAATTTTGTATGAAAAATATTTAGCATTTGTTGAACAATGTCAAAAATGCATTCAGCGGGTTGTATTTCGAAGACGATGCAAATTTCGGCAATATATACCACTCGCCAGAGATGTCAAGTATGTCCGTTCAGAAAGAATAATAAAACGTACATGTAATGCATGCTAGATCATTTGATACTGTACTGCAATAGATGCAGCAGTTCCATGTTTCTGATTGACGAGGAAGACTGTTTTTTTAGTTAGAGTAACCTCTCTAATTCATAATACTTTAGTAAACATAAAAGATATAATCATAGTTATGTTTTCAAACATTTATTGCTAGAATATACTGATATTATTTTGTTTTATCTTTATGTCCAAAGAACCCTAGAACCAAAAACCAAATTATTTAATACGTATTTATTAAAATCGATCAAATTCGATCGATGAAATTCGGGTCTTCTTCTTCTTTTAAATGTTATGGCACCATCGAAGTAATCGATGATTTAGCCAATGTCCAGTTGAGGAGCCTCAAAAATTGACCGGTGAATTTGGACAGAATTCACTGAGCGGAGAATCTACAAATTTACAAGGTCACGATGGCACGGTGCAATTATTTTCACGTCATTGTCGCCGGGTTAACATAAATTTCGTAAAGATATGTTCAAATATTGATGGTCCCTAGCATTTTTATTTGATGGACGCTCTGCTTTCTCGTATACAATCTATTTTTGAACCAATCTCCTTATATGAATTTAAGTTTCTGTTCCGCAAACTCCGCGACACTGCCATTAAAAACATTTGACGTTCCATTTCCAAACATTCTAAACCATACTTCAAAAACCCAAAAAATTTCGATATTCTTATTATTTATAGCGCATATATTTACGAGGAAATTTGTATTGTAGTTTTTAGTATTTGTGTTGCCTGTAATGGCCGCAAAGGAACGCAGGCAGAAAAATGTGACTTTCGGTATATCAAAGGACGACAACTTCGAAGTGGAATCGTACACTTACCCCCGGGAGGAAGAAGGCAGTTCGTTCAGCTCCGCAAGGGATTACTGGCAGAGCAAAACTATCAGGGGTAGCGGCACCCTTGACGCGAAAAACAAGTCGTTGTATTGTGAATAATTTTGGCTTTTGTCAATTTGTACCCAACAAAGTAGTGGTTGGATTAGCGCAAAAAGGAGTACACCTCAATAATAATTGATAATTAAATAATTCATTTCGACATATTGACAAATGAATACGTACTACATTTTAGTACCAGACAATTATTGGTGTGAGACAAAAGATCTATAGTTCAGCAATGGTGGGCTGATATTATGCCATGTTAAAAAAAATGTTCTGACAAACACACCAACTCCCTGGTCTCAAACTGGAGAATTCCCTGTCTTATGAATACCAGAGCAACGGAATCCATTCATTTCGTTTATCAAATTGGTCTCACCGGGAATCGAGCCCGGGACTTCGATCATGAGATTGCCATAGCAAACGAGTAAGTAGGAAATGGGCTAAGCTGAGGTTGTGGTGTGCAGGCCTGGAGAAAGCCAAGCAGGCGCTGGAGGCGGAGAACGCCGACCTGGCCACGGAGCTGAAGAGCGCCAGCGCTGCTCGCGCCGAGGGTGAGCGCCGCCGCAAGCAGGCCGAGGCCCAGCTGGCCGACTTGGCCGCCAAGCTGGCCGAGGTGGAGCGCGCCAGGTCAGTATCGCCCACACTTCGCCCGGAGCGTAGGGTTGTCACATTGCTGTTTTAGTTGACATAAGTTTAAAAAATTAAGGAGTTTACAATATTCTCGTGCTATATTGAAATAACCTTCATTTGACGGCATTTGCAGTATTATATATTGATATTTTTATACCGGCATGGCGTATTGGTGTCTCGATTATCCTAGCGTGATCCTAAAATGGACATGATGCTGAACAGTTCTGAAGTTGATGCACCATTTTCCAAACAATTTGTGTTTAGACACAACAATTAACACATCTACTCGATACCTCCAATAAACGCTAAGCCAACTGTCTGTTCTTATTTTCGAATTGTGTTTTTTGTTTCTTTATTTTATTTCACAAACTTCGCGGAGCTTAATATTAGTAAATAAATGTGGTTGTTTACAAAAACAACAGAAAATTACCAAAAAATTAAGTTGACCTAGTGTTCATTATAGGTATCGTACTGTTGATGTCAATTTTTTAAACACCCGAGCGAACGCTTGATTTGTGAACTGTAATGAATGGAGCGTGCTACGACGCGAGTGCATCACGAGATTATGCGAATGCGTGCGTTCGTACACGGTGCGCGGCGGGCGTGTACACATACATGCCGTGCTGCTACGTTTGTACGGAGTTATCATACTTGGAGTTATTGACACGAAATTCCATCGACACGTCACAAAGCAAAAACATTCATGTGGCAGGGCCGAGATCCAGGAAAAGTGTGTGCGGCTGCAGAGCGAGGCTGAGCAGGCGCTGCAGCAGCTGGAGCAGGCCGACCTAAAGGCGTCTGCTGCCGTCAAGCAGGCCGCCGCCGCCGGCGCGCAGCACGCCGAGGCTCAGGTGCTACATTTTTATAAAATAACCAAAAGCTTTAAGAAGTAAATAGTAAGAGTATTTAAACTATCGTATTTCTGAACGTCTTTTTGTAACAAATATTAAAGGATGATCCCTGTGACAATTTAATTTGACGTTTGAAGCAAATTTTCGCTCTATTTTTCTGACGTATGGATGTGTGACTTGTTTTG